GTGAATCCCCATCAAGGTCTGTGACCTTCCCCATCACTCCATGTGATTCCCATCACGTTGTGTGAGCCCCCAGACCGTGTGCCCCCCACTAACACCATGCAGTTCCTCACACACTATGCAACCCCCCCAACTGTGTGACCCACACACACCGTGTGCCTCCCCCAGCATGCAGCCCCCTCACTAGGGCCAGGCTCCCTCCCTCCTGTATCTGTGGGGGAATCACACCCCAGCAAAGCAGGATCCAGGTGTTGACCCCAGCCTCAGCCCCGACCCCCCTCCAGGCTGCCCCTCACTCGCACCCCTCCTCTTCAAGGACCCAGGGTGGCCTAAGCTGAACTCACTGCCTCACGGCTGAGGGATGCCTTGGGACCCAGGGTGCCCTGGCACAGCTTCACCCCACTGTGCCGCAGGCTACTGCCTTCACCTTGTGCTGAAGTGGAGGGCAGGGGCAGGATGAGGCTGGCCCCATTGGGCAGCTGCTGGTGCTGGACTGAAACTGCTTGTGGGACAGGAAGCAGTGATGGGCAGGGGGGAGGTTTTGTTGTACTTCAGGATAGTGGGGATGATGGGGAGGGCTGCCCCCCCCGCCTCCCCCAGGGCTGGATCCAGCACCAGCAGCACCTCAGCCTCAGCTCCCATCCCATCCACCGTGGGGCAGGTACCAGCAACCCAGGCAGTGGTGTGTGCCCACCCGTGCTCCCCTGAAATGTGACTTCAGCCATGGTGGCACCTGGCCCATTGCCAGGCTTCTCCTGGGGCTGAATCCTGCTCAGAGCCAGTGGGTTCCAGCACAACCTGCCTGTGCTGGCCACTGTTTGTGTTGCCTGCCACCGTGTTTGCATTGCACACAACCCAGCTGTTTGTTTGCACGAAACCAAGGGAGCCAAGGCCAGTGATGGCAGCAGTGGGCATGCTGCAGGCAGAGCAAGCATTGGGGCCTCCTCTCTGCCCGCAACACCATGCCATCTCCCTGTTCCCAGGAGGGTGATGTGACTGTGCCAGCATCCTTCCTCCCCTCACATGCTGCAACATCCGCTTGCCTACCGCAGCCCACGTGGATGCCCTCTGCACGCCGGGATGGCCTCAGCCCTGACGCACTCCTGGCCCTTGCCGTGAACTCCGACACTGGCATCCCCCACTTGCCCCACTCTGGATTTCCTCAGCAGTGACACATCCTTCCCCAACGCACGTCCCCACATCCCCTTTCCCAGGAAGAGCTGCCACAGGGCGGTGCCACCCCTCTTGCCATGGGCACAGGGACCTGGTGCAGGCACCAAAACTGCCACCAAGTATCTGGGGTTGGCTTTGCTGTACCCTCACCAAAGCCTTGCAGGGTGTGGGAGAGCTTGCGGACACGCTGGTCCCCTGGAAGCACCAGTGCAGCTTTGTCCACGTGGGTCACTAGAAGGAGGCAGAGAAGTCCGCCGGTCTGTGGCCCAGGTGGGTGGCCGGGGGTGGCAGGAGCCACCTACATTGGGACCCATGGGGCTGGCCCCAGTGTTTTGAGGTTGTTGTTTTGGGCTCGGCTCCCATGTATTGGTTTGTGGCCAGTTTAAACTGGTTCACAGCTTTTATAAGGTGTGGGATGAGTAGGATCCTGCGAATGCCAGCAGCTCCGGAGGGGATCCCACGCCTGTGGGTGCCAGTGCTGGTGGCCATGCGAGCCCACATGCCCAGGGTGGCTGGCGCAGCTCTCCAGGAGGCAGATGCCTGCTCGCAGCCCAGACCAGAGGGGAGCAACCCTGAAGCTCCGTACCAGGCTTTTGGCTGCAGCATCTTCCCCTCCAGCATGGCCCCAGCAGCTGAGCAAGCCGGTGCTGCCCCGCAGCGGGAGGAGCAGGGGGATACCACCTGCCCACTGCTCTTCATCCAACTCAACCAGCTCTTCAGCACACCAGCAGGGCTGGAGTGGAGAGAGACAGCCAGGTAGGCACGCCTGCAATGGCCACATTGCCTGGCTATGCTTTGGGAAGCCCAGCTTTGAAAGCCTAACTCTGATGTAGCCCATGGCATCTCTGAAGGCTGGTGGTTCTTCAGCCTCAGCCCCAGCCCCAAGGCAGGGCTGTTCACTGCTCTCTGCCCCCGGTGATGCCTGCTTCCGCCATTTTAGGGTGACCTGTTTCATGGGAGAGGGTAGGGTGTCAGGCAGGACAGAGGCAGTGATCCTGCATGGGCACAGTGGCCTTGCTTCTGTTCCTGCCTTTGCTGCCTCTCCAAGGCTCCAGCACCTGCACCAGGGCTGGGACAGTGCCTTGACGCTCCCCAGATCCGGCTGCCACGCCTCAGGAGGAGACCAGGGGGTAGGTCAGGGCAGGCTTGGCTGTGGACAGTGGGGCCCAATGGAGAGAAGCCAGAGCTGGTGTGGGGCAGGGGCATGGTTAGGATGTTCCCGTACCCCACACCCCCTTCCACTTCTTGGCAGGGACACAGGGACATGGGCCATAGGGGTCTGGAGGCAGCAATGGGTCTGCCCCTGGGGGTCGGAGAGCCTCGTGGGGGACAGCACCACTGGGCTGTGGCTGTGACAGCTCTCCCCAGCGCACAGCCCTCTTCTCCCCCTGCACAGGACGGTGCTCTGCCGGTGCATGTTCTCCCCATGCAGCACGCTGAGCCTCCCCGCAGCAGCGCGTCCACCCATGGAGACAAAGGGAAGCTCTGTTTGCCCCCAGCACTAAAATATTTGGCATGGCCTGTGTGGCAAACAGTTCAAGAAACTTCTGTTCTGACTCCAGCAAGCACTGCTAGTGGCAGGGCAACCCCCAGTCTCAGCACAGCCTGGGGATGGGTGGGTTTGGAGCAGCCCTAGGGAGAAGGACTGGGAGTACTGGTGGGTGACAAACGGGACATGAGCCGGCACCGTGCCCTTGCAGCCCAGAAAGCCAAGCGTCTCCTGGGCTGCATCGCGGGCAGCATGACCAGCAGGTCAAGCAGGGGATGCTCCTCTCTGCTCCGCTCTGGTGGCACTGCATCCAGCTCTGGGGTCCCCAGCAGAAGGTCTTGGGTAGCAGCACATGGACTTGTGAGAGCGGGGACAGAAGAGGCCACCGAAATAGTCTGAGGGCTGGGACAGCTCTGCTATGGAGACAGGATGAGAGAGCCTGGAGAAGAGAAGGCTCCGGGGAGACCTTAGAGCCCCTTCCAGTCCCTAAAGGGGCTCCAGGAGAGATGGGGAGGGATTTTTTTACCAAACCTGTAGTGACAGGACAAGGGGCAATGTTTTTAAACTGCAAGAGGGCACGGTTAGTTTGGGCATAGAGAAGAAATGTTTTACAAAGAGGGTGGTGAGACATTGAAGAGGTTGTCTGGAGTTGTGGAAAGGTTCAAAGTCAGGTTGGACAGGACTTTGAACAACCTGATCTAGTGGAAGATGTGCATGCCCATGGCAGGGGGTTGGACTGGATGGTCTGTGACAGTCCCTTCTGTGATTCCATGACTGGTGAACCCTCCCTGATTAGGAGATCAGAGGGAGGTGTGGGTCAGCAGGAACGGGGATGTGACTGCTGAGGCTGCCCACCTACCTCTGCTCTGCAAGCCCACTCTGAGCCCCCCAAACCCCTCCCTGCCTGTGCCAGCACCATGCCAATGGGACATCCAAGGGATGGATCCAAGCTCCAGCTTCCACTGCCTGCCATGGGGCATGGGACTACCCTGTCACTGACCCCACACATCTCCCCGGGCAGGTGGATAAAGTTTGAGGAAAAGGTGGAGGATGGTGGGATGCGCTGGAGTGCGCCCCATGTCCCAGCCCTCTCCCTGCACAGCCTCTTCCAGCTGAGGAATTACCTGCAGAAGGGGACAATGCTCCTGGATTTGGATGCCCTGTCTTTCAAGGAAGTAATCGGTACGTGGGAAATGTAAAAGTCATCTCTTGGGATGGGCTGGTCACCAGAGAGAGTGTCCTGGGTACCTGTGGTGGCTGCCTGCTGCTCCAGCAAAGTGGGCTTTTCCTTGCACAGCCCCCCACTAGCCAGTGAACCGGGGGGACTCAGGACTGTCCTCATCCCTGTTGCAGACAGGGCACTTTCTGGGCAGCCCGAGGAAGCAGAGCTACGGCCCGAGCTGAGGGAACGCCTGGCAGCCCTCCTTCTCCGCCAGCCACGGCACCAGCCCACCAAATCCCTACTGCAGCTCCTTGCCGAGCTCGTCCTCTCTCCATGCCAAGGTAGGCATGGTGCCTGGCCATGGGTGGCAACATGGCTGTCCCACTGGGCATCCCCCCGCTGCCACCAGCCTGTAGCAATACCCATGCTGACCATTCACTTGCATATGTATTTTGCTGCTTGCTCCTTTCCTTTGCAGGGAAGGCCAAAAGCTGGTCTGAGCCTGGAGCCCAGGTCTCCGAAACACCTCTTAAGGAGCAGGTAAGACAGGATGGAGCTGGGCTGAGAGCAACTGCTGCATCCCGAGTGCCCAGCTGCTGCATCCCTTCCTTTCAGCTGAGAAATCAATTTAAGAAGAAGGTCCCACTGGGGGCCGAAGCAGCCCACATTGCTGTTGGTGAAGTTGACTTCCTGGAGAAGCCCTTCACCGCCTTCATTCGCCTCAGGCAAGGGGTGGCCCTTGGCTCATTGGCTGAAGTTGCTCTCCCCAGCAGGTAAATGGAGCACAGCTAATGGCCCTATGCCCCATTTTGTCCCTGTCTCCCTGCTCCCTCCTGCACAGGACAAGGCTTTGCATGGGAAAAGCAAAGGGTACAGCACCCAATACCACATGCGGTCCCAGAACCCTGGCTCACCGTTTCCCCTCCTGCTATTCCCAGCTCCTTAGAAGCATCCCAGGACAGGCTGAGAGTGCAGCATCTGCCAGGCAGCCTGAGGGGGTCATCCCCTGGGTTATCCCCACCGGGGCTCTGCATTCACTCTTCTACTTAGGAGGGTCTGGATGCTCTCCACTTACTGACTGGGAGCATGGGGGCTTGTGGCTGGAAAGGAACACAGGTTTGCAGGAGTCTCTTGCCCTCTCACTGTCAGCAGTGCTCTCCTGAGTGGCGGGGTGGTCTTGCAGCACTGTTGGCATAGGGGAAAATGAGCAGGGCAGGAGGTGTTTCACTGTGGTTGAAGAATGCATTCTCTGAAGCCATAAGAGGAATTGGTCAGTGTGCCCCTTGAGCTGAGGACTTCCTTAGGCAGCGTGTGGAGAAAGCAGTCCAGGATCAGGAGGGACATTGCCACCTCCTGGTCATTCTGCCCAGAGCACCCATTCCCAGGAGCTGGGTGGAGCAGGACATCCATCCATCTCCTGCTCTCTACTTGGTGGGAAATCATAGAATCACAGAATCATAGGGGTTAGAAGGGACCTTCAGAGATCATCTAGTCCAACCCTCTTGCCAAAGCAGGGTCACCAAGAGCGGGTTGCACAGGAACACATGCAGGCAGGGTTTGAATGTCTCCAGAGAAGGAGACTCCACCACCTCTCTGGGCAGCCTGTTCCAGGGCTCTGCCACCCCCACAGGAAAGAAGTTCCTCCTCATGTTTAGATGGAACTTTCTATGCTAAAGTTTGTGCCCGTAATCTCTTGTCCTGTCACTGGGCACCACTGAAAAAAGATTGCCATCCTCCTGACACTCATCCTTTAATATTTATAGGCGTCGATAAGTTCCCCCCTCAGTCTTCTCTTCTCCAGACTAAAACGACCTATGTCCCCCACCTGTTCCTTATATGAGAGATGTTCTAGTCCCCTCATCATCTCTGTAGCCCTTTGCTGTACCCTCTCCAGCAGTTCCCTGTCCTTCTTGAACTGGGGGGCCCAGAACTGGACCCAGCACTCCAGATGGGGCCTCACCAGGGCAGAGCAGAGGGGCAGGATGACCTCCCTCCACCTGCTGGTCACACTCTTCCTGATGCCCCCCAGGATGCCCTTGGCCTTCTTGGCCACAAGGCCCCATTGCTGGCTCATGGTCATCCTGTTGTCCACCAGGACTCCCAGGTCTTTCTCCCCAGAGCTGCTCTCCAGCAGGTCAGCCCCCAACCTGTCCTGGTGCAGGGGGTTATTTCTCCCCAGGTGCAGCACCTACACTTGTCCTTGTTGAACTTCATCAGGTTTTTCTCCTCCCAACTCTCCAGCCTGTCCAGGTCTTTCTGTATGATGGCACAGCCTTCTGTTGCGTCAGCCACCCCTCCCGATTTTGTATCATCAGCAAACTTGCTGAGGGTACACTCCATCTCTTCATCCAAGTCATTGGTGAATATATTGAAGAGGACTGGACCCAGGACTGACCCCTGGGGAACACCATTTGTTACAGACCTCCAGCTAGATTCTGTGCCACTAACATGAGCCTCTAAGCTCTGTCTTTCAGCCAGTTTTCAATCCACATCACTGTCCCTTCATCTAACCACACTTCCTAAGCTCACCTATGAGGATGCTGTGGGAGATGGTGTTGAAAGCATTGCTGTAGTCAAGGTAGACAACATCCACTGCCCTTCCCTCATCTATCCATCCAGTCATACCATCATAGAAGGCTATCAGATTAGTCAGACATGATTTCCCCTTGAAGATAGGTGGCAAGTTTCCTGCACAGATCTTGAGGGGCTCACAGCAATCCTTTGCCCTGTTATTTTCCTCCACAGAACAGAAGGGGAAGGGCAGCTTGTCCCTCCGGGAGACCTCCAGCACTGATGTCCCAAGTCAGGGCTGCAGCAGATTCTCTTGAGCTCTTCAGCCCTGCTTGTGCTGTCGGAAATCTTTTCCTACCCCCTCTCTGAAGGTGTGCTTGGGTTACAATCACTGGAACAGTTCTGCAGCCTCAGGGTACCAGGACTGCAACCATTTTTGCCAGATTTGAAAAGATTGGCTAAATATTTGGATGGGCTGTCCCTCTGGAGACATTATTTTGCAGCATCCTCTGAGGTGTGGGATTTTAGCCATATTTCTTCAAGAGCTCTGAGCCCTGTTTCCAATCTCTTCCTGTGTGCTGTAGTCCTATCAAACTTGCTGCCTGTGCAGCTGGCAAGCTCTCCTTCCCAATGCGATTGCTCCTGCACCCTGCCTGCCAGCAATACTCCCATGAGCATGACCCCACAGACACCCCCAGCCAAGGATGTCTCCTTCTCTGCCCCAAAGACCTGTCCCCCATCCCTCCCCTCCCGGATTTCTGCAGACCTTGTGATCTGGCTGGGGTCCTGGTGTCCCATGGTCTGCCATGGGGTTTCCATGCAGCAGCCAGCAGACACGTGTCTTTTCTTCTCTCCCTGACCCCTCACTTAGGGTGGCCACCCCTTGGGGTGGCAGCAGCCCCCCGAGCCTACCCGGATGCCCTCACCAGCATCCCCACAGTACTACGGTCTCCCCTGGGAGAAGCATTCCCACTGAGGAGAAGGCTGCTCAGGAGATGCACTGTCTCGCCCACAGGTTCCTCTTCATTCTGCTAGGTCCCCGAGCCAAAGCCAAAGCCTACCATGAGGTTGGGAGGGCCATGGCCACGCTGCTGATGGATGAGGTGAGCCTGGTGCAGCATCCATGGGTGGGATGGGCCTGGGATGAAGCCTAGGCTGAGGACAGCAGGGCTCCTCTCCTCTGCAGGCTGCAACGGAGGTGGCAGCGGATGGGCGTGCTGGTGGCTTCCCTTGCCCAACCTAAGAAAACAAAGGTTTGGGGTGGGTCTGTAGGATATAGGTACACCAATTGCACTGAAGTGGATGGGCGTCTTTCTCGGTGATGGCTAAAGACTGGGAGGAAGGCTCCAAGTGGCTGAACACAGGGATGTGGTGGCTAAACCACAGCATCTCCCCACAGCTCTTCCAATGGGTTGCCCGACAAGCTGAGCACCGAGAGGACCTCATCGCAGGGATGGAGGCGTTCCTGGATGAGCTGACTGTGCTTCCTCCTGGGAAATGGGACCCCAGTGCCCGGATTCCTCCACCGAACTGTCTGCCATCTCTGCACAGGAGGTAGGCTGGAGGGAGGGCACCCGCAGCCTCTGCCAGCCCCTCTGCAGAGTCTCCCAGGTGGAGACATTGTGACTGTGGAGACTGTGACATTGAAATCTCCATCTCCATGGGGATGAAGCCACCGAAGAGCCAACCTTTGCAAGTGAGGTCCTCCCAGCCAAGCCCCTCTGCAGCTCCAGACGATGACCACAGCTCTGGTCCTCACTGCTGTCAGTCCTGCTGTCCCCTCTTGACAGGGGATGGCAAAACTGTCTCATGTGCCCTCAGGCAGGAGCTGCTGGGAACACTGGGTTTCAGCACTCAGATGTGAAACTCATCCTTTGAGCAGGACACATCTGGCTCTGCCCAGCTCCTCCACCAAAACTGGTCTTGCTAGGGCTGGCTCCAGGTCTTGCTGGAGGGTTGGGTTGGAAGGGACCTTCGAAGATCATCAAGTCCAGCTCCCTCATCTCTCCTCCTCCTGATCTTTCCCCTCCTCATTATCAGGGATACATGAGGTCCCCCCAGCCCTGCTTGCACCCCTGTCCCCTCTCATAGTGTCCCCTAGATGCAGCTGAGTCCTGAGGGCTCCAACCTGAAGCCTGTCATCTCAGGCTTTGGTCTGCCACAGGACCACCATGCACCCACCGGACCGGCAGTCGCATGGCAATGGGGACATGGCAGCAGCTGGGGACAAAGCTGGCTTGGGGCACCCACACTCCAGGGAGGAGCTGGAGAGGACGGGCAGGTGGGTGCCTGGAAGGACAAGGGTGGTGGGAGGTGCAGCAGGATGCTGAATTCGGGGCAGGGCACTGGCTCTCCCCAGCACATGGGGCCACAATGTCCAAACCACTCCAGCCTAGTGCCTCCTGGGGAAGGGACTGTCCCCTGCCTTGCAGTTCTCTCGGGGGGTGACAGCCAGCCAGGGGGCTGCTCTGAGATCTCCCTCTGCTGCCCCAGGCTTTTTGGGGGGCTGCTGCGAGACATCCGGAGGAAGGCACCATGGTACGGCAGTGACTTCTCTGATGCCCTGCACCCCCAGTGCCTCTCGGCAGTGCTCTACATCTACCTGGCGACTGTCACCAACGCCATCACCTTTGGGGGCATGCTGGGGGATGCGACTGCCAACATGCAGGTTGGTGTGGCTGCAGAGTGCCCTGCACAAACCCCACTCAGCCCAGCCTGCAGGATTCCTGGGTGCCCACCTACCACTGTGCCCAGGTAGCTCGTGGTGCCCCCAGGACAACCAGCAGTGGCAGGGAGGTGCAGGCAGCTGCTTGCAGCTGTGCTGCTGTTGGGGCCAGGCCTGGGACCCCCGTCCCTGTCACATGCCTGGCACCCCTCCCCTGCATTTCAGGGGGTGCTGGAGAGCTTCCTGGGCACAGCCTTTGCTGGCTCCATCTTCTGCCTCTTTTCTGGCCAGCCCCTGACCATACTGAGCAGCACTGGCCCCGTGCTGGTCTTCGAGCGCCTTCTCTTCTCCTTCAGCCAGTAAGTACCCTGCCACAGACAGTTCCTCAAGCCACTGTCCCCACAGGCCACCATGACGCCAGGCAGTTGTCATTGTTGAGGCTCTGGGTCACCCTTTCCACCAGAGAGCACAGCCTGGACTACCTGGAGTTTCGTCTCTGGATTGGGCTCTGGGTGGCCTTTTTTGGCATCATCTTGGTGGCCACTGAGGCCAGCCACCTGGTGCGGTACTTCACCCGCTTCACTGAGGAAGGCTTCTGCGCCCTTATCAGCTTGATATTCATCTACGACTCCCTGAAGAAGATGCTGAGCCTGGCAGATGCCTTTCCCATCAACTGGCAGTACCGGCTGGACAACGTCACCTCCTACAGCTGCATCTGCAACTTGTCCAGGCCCGGTGAGTCCAAGCAGCTGTGGGGCTGGTGGAGAGCAGGGGGCTGCTGCCCTGGGACCCTGCCACCTGGTTAGATGGGGGAAGGCACTGGAGGAGGAAGAGGAGGCTGCTCAATCCCATCCTCACCTGCCTGATCACATTGACACCTTCCTCCACTCCCCTCCATTGCCGTCCGTTTGTCCCTGCCTCCTGGCACTGCCCAGGCACCGGACAGGGAGCAAGGACAGCCTTGGTCCAGCTCCTGTGGCTCCGGGTTGGGGGATGCCAGGAGCTGGAGGTGGGCACCTGAGTGGGTTTGTGCTGCTGTTTCTAGCCTGCTGTAAATCAGCAGGTGCTTCCTGGAGCCTGAAGATGTGACCACACTGATCCTGCAAATGGGACTCATGCTGTGTACCAAAAGCATCAGTGCTGGGCACAGCCTGGGGCTGATGGTGCCTCTAGTTGCTGGTGCTCCCTTTGCAGGAGCGGGAGTCACCCCTCGATGCTCCTGGGGTATCAGCCAGTGCCAGGGCCTCGGGGGTCCCATGGGGACCCATCCAGCACCCTGAGGCCCTGGGTAGAGCCTGGGGAGATGCCCTGATGGCAGCACAGTCCCATTCAACCCTGTTGGAGAGTCCCCATGGTGCTGCCACCCTGACGCCGCCATCCCCTTGCAGGCCACAGCTCCACAGGGAATGACACGGGAGGGGCGAGGGGCTGGGGTGGACCCGAGGTGTCTGTGCATGATGCCTCCTCGCCTCCTGCCCTGTCCCCACAGCCTCCCACCACCCCGGCTGGGCTGAGCAGGACCCAGTGCCTGCGTCGAGGTGGGCACCTCCTGGGGACCAGCTGCCAGTACGTACCCGACGTCACCCTCCTCTCCTTCCTGCTCTTTGGGGGCACGTTCCTGTCCTGCACTGCACTCAAGCACTTTAGGAGCAGCCGTTACTTCCCTGCGGCGGTGAGCATCTTTCAGCCACCCTGGTGGCTGGGGACAGCTCCAGGTGCTATGACCTGGGGGTGTTCTGAGGCAGGCCCCAGCCCTGGCCAGCCCAGGCCAACCCCTCTCCATCTGCAGGTACGGAAGCTAGTGAGTGACTTCGCCGTCATCCTGGCCATCCTTGCCTCCTGTGCCATTGATGCCACCCTGGGCCTGGAGACCCCCAAGCTTCTCGTCCCCAATGAGCTGAAGGTGCTGGCAGTGTGGGCACGGTGCTGCTGGGGAGTGGGTCTATGCCACCCACAGTGGTCTTCTTGTCATGCTGCAGTTGTCCTTCCCAACACTGGGTTCAGCCCTATAGGGATGCGGTCTGTGCCCCAGCAAACAAGAAGGGGTTGGATCTCAGCTGATTGCACATTCTGCAAATAATCTGGCTCAATCCAGAACTAGCAGTGTCATGGTACAACTCACGCTGGAGTGAGAGACACAAGCTCAAGTCTGGGCTTGGGCTACCCGCCCTGGGTGTGGAGTGGGGCTGGCAACACCTCAGAGCAGCCTGTGCTTGCTGCTATATCCTTGCCATATCCTTGGGCTTGCCATCATCAATGCCCAATGCCACCGCTTCCACTACCTCCCAGGGGCACACGCCCAGCTTCTGGCTTGCAGTGCCCAGGAGCAATCCTCTGTTCCACCACAGCCAGGGTGTCGGCCTAGGAGCTTCCCCAAGATGAGAGAGGATGCTCTTCCTCCCCCCAGGTGGAGCATCCCTGGATGTCTACAGGGCTCCAGCCTGGGTGCCCAGAGCTGGTCCGATCACCCAGCTGCACTGCAGACCTCACAGGTGGTCGGCGGCTGCCGTGACCCCTCTGCTCTCCACAGCCCACAAACCCAGCACGGGGTTGGATCATCTTCCCCTTTGGAGCCAACCCGTGGTGGATCTGCCTGATGTCTGCGGTGCCTGCTGTCCTTGTCACCATTCTCATTTTCATGGACCAGCAGATCACAGCCGTCATCCTTAACCGCAGGGAGTACAAGCTGCAGGTGAGTTGGAGACAGGGGATGGGCTGGACCCAGCCAGTGGGGAGGATCCAGGTCTTGGTTGGACCCTGTGGGCCAGGGGGGCAGCCAGGGGAGACCAGCATCCCGAGCCAGCTGGCAAGGTGGGCAGACCCCACTGATGCCCCTCTGATGCTGGTTGGGGGATGGTTTGCCCCCAGCCCGATTGCCTCTCCTGTTGCAGAAAGGAGCAGGCTTTCACCTGGACCTCCTCTGTGTCTCCTTCCTGATGGTTGTGACCTCTGTTACTGGCCTCCCCTGGTACGTCTCAGCCACTGTCATCTCCCTGGCTCACATGGAGAGCCTGAGGAAGGAGAGTGCAATCTCAGCCCCAGGCGAGCACCCCAAGTTCCTGGGCATCAGGTACGCAACAAGCCCAGACCCCGCTCCAGGGGATCCTCTGTCTACAACTGTGGAGCCAGGGGTCAGGCACGTACCCACCACGCTGGCCAGCAGACCCAGCTGTGGGGCTGCCTGTGTCTCCCTGGGGATGCCGCTGGTCCCTGGGGCCATCAAGGCTGAAAAAAGCAGAGGCCCTGGGGGCCAGGAGGGCAGGTGCAGGCTGTGGGCTCCCGAGGGACTCCATGGCACCTGTTGTGACACCTGCACTGCCTCCTGCAGGGAGCAGAGGCTGACTGGCCTGGCCGTCTTTGTCCTGACAGGGGTCTCTGTCTTCATGGCCCCTGTTCTCAAGGTAGGGAGCCTGGCTGCTGGGTTTGGCCTCTTTTCCAAGGCTGGGGGTTGGCTGCGGGGCTCTTAACCCAGCCCAACTAGGCTGTTGGAAATCAAAGCAGCAAATGCTGCAGCCGCATCTGCAGGCTTTCATACAGGAGAGGATGCTCAGCGAGCGCAGCCACCTCGGGAAATTGTGCCCTGCTGACCCCTCGCCCCACTGTTTTGCAGCACATCCCAATGCCGGTGCTGTATGGGGTCTTCCTGCACATGGGGGTGGCGGCACTGAACAGCATCCAGGTGAGAGGGGACTGCGCTGAGGGTGCTGGTAGGGGCTGTTTTGGGGATGAGCTCAATACCAGCTCTCACTGCACAGCAGAGCTTGGATTTTAGCTCTGTCTGACATGCAGCCTGGCATGGGTCTGTACCCCACCAGGCCCAGGACAATGAGGGACAAGAGGGACCTTTCTGGGGCAGAAGAGAGAGGAAGAGAGGTATCTGGGATGCTCAGGAGCAGGAACAACTTCTGCACTGATGGATCATGTGGTTTCAGATAAGCGGAGGGAACAGTGTATAACCCAGATTTGTTCTCAAAGCTGCAGGGATGTACCCATATGGGAGCTGCGGAGCTGGGACCTGCTGGTCCTGGCATTGTCACTGATGTGCCAGCTCAGTTCCTCTCCTGAGAAACCCACAGAGGGGAAAAAAATCCCCACTCCAGAAATATCTATCTCGTCTTTTCCTCTAAACAGTATGATTTCCTTGTAGTTATCCCGCTCTGGATCACAGGCTGGGAAACTCCCTCTCTCATCCCTCCCTCTGCTTGGGTAATCCAGGGCTGTGCTCTGGCAAAGGCAGCAGCAGCATTTTCTTGCATGCAGGGGTTGTTGCCTCTCAAGTAACCCTTTAAGACCAGCTGGAGCCCTTTCTAGATGTCTGTCTGGAAAGTTCTCCCCTGGCCTGGCACAATGGTGGTACCAGGACCCCTGGGCTTGCAGACAAACTCACTCACCTGGGCATCACGCTGGCGGTCAGCACAGATGGCAGGAGGACTGAGCTACAAAAACATTGGCAAAAATCCATCCTGTCAGCCCCATCCCAATGAGGAAGGGGGTGAGAGCTATCTGAAAGACAGAGGTGCATGACCCACGTGCCATCCTCTCGTTACAGCTCACAGACCGCGTGCGACTGCTCCTGATGCCAGCCAAGCACCAGCCAGACCTCGCCTACCTCCGCCACGTGCCACTGCGCCGGGTGCACCTCTTCACCGTCATCCAGCTCCTGTGCCTGGCCCTCCTCTGGGTCCTCAAGTCCACCATGGCCGCTATTATCTTCCCAGTGATGGTATGACAGCCCTTGTAATCGGGCGGCACTGGTTTGGTGCCGGGCTGGGTGCTGCCCACTCGTGCCTTGAGCATTGCCAGAGCCCTGGTGCCCATCTCGGGCAAGGGCCGTGGGCACTGCCCCGGGTGACGACGCAGGCCCTGGCGGGTGGTGTGTGCGGCGCTCAGACCTCGGTGGGCTGGCAGGGTCCCCGCAGGGCCACAGCACGGCTTTGCCACCAACCTTCAAGCCCTGCGTTGGGGCTGGTTGGGGCTGCCGCTGCCTCGCAGGCACTGTGCAAGTATCGTCCCCTGGGACCAAGCCAGGAGAGGCGACACGCTGCCTCCCCGGCACTCACCGGGGATACGGAGCGGGTGCGATGGGGGTCCCTGCCCCGAGCGCCGTGCGGCGCTGACCCACGCTTCGCCCTGGCAAAGCTGCTGGCGCTGGTGGGGATCCGGAAGGGCCTGGAGCGCATCTTCTCCCTGAACGACCTGAGCCGGCTGGACAGCCTGCTGCCCGGGGACGGGGCGGAGAGGGGACGGCCCGGGAGGCGGCGGGCGGCGGAGAGCGGCAGCGAGGGGGTAGGTGACGGCCGGGGCGCCGGGCTCCCCGGGGGCGGGGGCCGGGGCCGCCGCGGGGGAGGGGCTGGCGACAGCGGGGCCCGGGCGCGCCGCCAGCCCCGCGCCCCTCTCGTTCCCCTCCCCAGGCAGAGCTGGTGCCGCGCCGAGCGCCCGAGATCAACGTCTCGGTGAATTAGGAGCGGCGCCGGGACGCGGGGCCGGGCGAGGGGGCGGAGGAGGCCGGGGCCGGGGCCGGTC